CAGACCTGTGATAGAAGAAAGTTTTAAGTATACTAGTTCAGTAGTTGTTTAAGTAGTATATATATTACAGCGATCCAATGCATCAGCCGGGAATGTTTAATATATCTTAAATGGATAGCCTGGTGATTTATGAACGGTGTAATTAAGGTCATTTCATGTGCCAGATCGAATTAATGATAATTATCTACAACTAGAGAAAGTAAAACGAAAACAGAGAGCACGGAACAACAAAGCAGTAATTACCAAAATATATCAATCAGGTCTACCTAAATGCGTGTGTCATGTGACACAGTGATATACTGTTGATGTTATTCAAATTAGTTAAACTTGCTAGGGACGGCGTTAACATATTGACTGCAAATGGGTGGTTTTACTTAGGGGATTCATTAATAAAGATGAATAAACATTTAAAGTCCCTAAAATATCACTTGTGGAATGAGATACACTTGCAGGTGCTAGACCATTCAATGCATTTTCAGAGGAGCAGTATGCATCGATGCAGCGAACAAATAATGGGAGTGATTTTATCGTGCGCATAGATTGTGGTAGGTTATTCCAGAGTCTAGAAAATTTACAGGTGAAGTAATTCATATAAAGAGATGATTTAGAATGAGTTTGTTTCACTAGTGCCAAGGATTTACGGATGTCATAATGAGAGGTTTCTGCATGTTGAATCGCGTGATCGGATGTAAACGATAGTTTATGAAGTAGTTTGAAGAAAAAGATAAGATTTAGTTTGAGTCTCCTCCTCCATAAAGGGTCTAGGTCAAGTTTATTACATCTCGAATTATAAGTTAGGGTACAATCAGCTCCAAGAATACCAAGTGTAAGTCGTCTCTGTACTGATTCTAGCCTTAATTTATCCTTTATGCGCGCACTACTAAAAATAAACGAGCAATATTCTACAAGAGGTCGAGCACAAACTTTGTACATTAGAATACGTGACTCAGTGTTGTAAAGATTTCGAGTTATGTAACCTATTAGACGTTGAGACTTAAAGGTCTGTTTTAATATATGTTCTGTAAACGACAAGTCTTGGGAATATCTAAGTCCTAAGTCTACTACTGTATGCGACCTAAATAACACTTCTCCATTTATGGTAGTGTCTAGGTTGAGTGATGTGTCACCGAAGCATATCCATCCACATTTAGCCGTATTAAGCTTCAGCTGCCATTTTAAGCACCACTGCGCTACCTTGTTAAGCTCCATGCTAATGCAATTTCGCATATTTTTCAGGTCATGTGGAGAAAATGAATATGCCACTTTAAGATCATTTGCATATAGAAGAGGCTTATCGACACAAAAACTTTCACAAATATCATTGATAAACACTAAAAAGAGCAAAGAACCCAAGACACTACCTTGTATTACACCACTTCTAACAGGGACAGCGTTAGACAATGAAGAGTTAATTTTAACTATTTGATGTCGATTGCTGAGAAAGGAATCAAGCCAAGCAAGCAAAGGATTTTGAATCCTATAAGATGCGAGCTTACTTATAAGAAGTTGGTGGCTAACCATGTCAAAGGCTTTAGAAATGTCCAGATATAGCATCAGGACTAGATATCCTTGGCTACGTAGAGAATAGACTAAATTAAAGAAGTCAAAATGACATGTCATGCAAGAACGATTTTTAAGAAATCCATGTTGAGTATCATTGATAAATTTTCCAGCAAGTAAATAGTTGGAAAGTTCATCACATATAATTTTTTACATAATCCTAGAAATAACTGCAGTAATATTTGCCGGTCGGTAATTGTTCATGTCGGTCTTATCTCCAGATTTGTAACGTGGTATGATATGCGCGGTTTTCCAACAGTAAGGGTAAAAATCAGTTTCCATAGAGAGAGTAAACAGCTTTAGAAAAGAAGAAGTGGAATATATGGACCACCGTATTTGTAGAGAAATGATGAAATCCCGTCTACTCCATGACCTCTCGAAAGCTTAAGGGTATTTATAGCCTTATTAATTTTTATGCATTTGAAGGAGATAAATTTTATTGAGTTGCTAGTCACGCACATAACTCTCGAAGCATAGCCACTTACGTTTTCTACACCATTCGCGCATATACTACTGAAAAGGTCGGCCATGGTTTTAGAGTCGTATATAAAAGTGCTATTATGCTGGATGCACGGTATATCAACATTTCGAGTTGCTTTAGTGCGTTTATTGGAAAGGAGAGTTAAGTTTTGTACTTTCGAGTTAGTATTAAGGGCTAACAGCTCCTCATTAATGGCTTTTAGCCTATGTTTCTCTTTAATTTGATTAAAAATTATTGTTATTTGTGCAACTGCTGTGAAGTCATTTGACCTAAAATAACGATTCTGTAGGCCTTTTAGTTTATTACGATATTTAGCCGGTATATATAATTCGTGAGGTTTACTAAACCTGTACGTCTTAAGAGGTACACTGGAATCTAAACAAGAGTTAACCATCAGATATAATTCGTCGATAGCATCCATGAGACCATTACATGAAAAAAAGTTATCCCAGTCTGAAAGTTTAATCAATGAATGTAGGAGGTCCCAGTCAGCATGCTTATAATCTCTATATTGACAGGTTTTTTGAATGGGTGGGTTATAACAGAGACAGATAGAGAGAGCGCACACTACTATCTTTAAGGTCACTGCTTTCAAATTCATCATATGCTTTTACAGATAGTGGGATAACATCTCTACTAAATATTAGATCGAGTATACTATCGCCTCTAGTTGGGGCACGAACCCACTGTGACCGGCAGTGCATGACAACTACCGGTACTCCAGTTGATCCCAGAATAATTGAAATCCCCAATGATAACCTTAGCATTAAAGTTTAGAGAGGATGCATGTATGAATGCATTGATAATAAGATCATTCCCACCATTTGGACTATCAGGAGCTCTGTATATACATCCAAGTAGTAGACTATGATTCAGGGTGTTGACTGATATCCAGACTGATTCTGGTAAACTATTCAGGACACTATCTTCAACTTTATTAGTTGTTAGGGTATCCAAAGCATATATAATATAACCACCTCCTCGCTTAGTTTCCCTGTCGCAGCGATAAAGTCGATAGTTCTGGATATTTAATTCTGAATTAGATACTGCTTGAGAGCACCATGTTTCAGTGATAAGTATGGAAGGAGGTTTGGCTAGAAAAGCTAATGTTCTCAAGGCTGAAATTTTGTTCAGAAATGAACGTGCATTGATAAGTAATAAGTTTGAAAAGGGAGTGTGGAGTGTTAAAAAACCGAGAGCTTCCCTATTGATGTTATGTAGTTTGGATTTGCATAGACTGTGGTTTATTATGTTTGACTGATCGTATGGGCTATCGCTTGAACAAACTGTATTGCTAGTCGGACCAGAGATTTCTGAAGGCCAAGAAAATCATTATTTTGATAAAGTGGGTTAATTTGTTGAACTTGATTAGGCGGACAGTTAAGACAGGCACCTGCCAGTTGGGGTTGGGTTGATGGTGCGTAACCTAGTAATCCATCTTCCCCAATGGGAAAGTGCTGAGAATAGTTACATCTTACAGTTATGTTATTTAAAACGTTTGAGGATAACCGTAGGGTGCGTTGGTTCGTTGTGGTCTGTCTAATATTAGGCCTGCTTACATAATGATTGCAGTGGCCATCTTGTGAGACATTTGAACCAAGTCTGCCCTTATAACCTCCCCTACGATGCGTAAGGTAAAGCATGGTGTCGGGAAGTACAGTCTTATTTTTATTTGGTAGGGTCATCGTACTATTTTTGATATTGGGTCTAGAACCAGAAGGTTCTGTACTTACATTCTTCTTACATGGCAAAGGTATTTTAGTCTTGACAGCGTTTTTAAGAGTTGTAGCACTAGAACTAAGTACTTGCTCATGGGCTTCTAATGGTAAACTGGGTAATATCGGATTAGTGACGTCATTAGATGTACATTGGCTATCAGATGTCACTACAGACATAACAGGCAAATTAGCATTCTTTGTTGGTATATCAGAGTGCTGGAGAACATGAGATAGGGTAGCTGCATCAGTGGATCCATCAGCTGATGCATCGTGGTTTGTTGTGATCTCAACACCTTTATTTTTGTTCAAGGTACGTTTTTGCGTAAGCCTTTGATTGGTGGTCTTATCTGAGACCATACGAGCGTTTCTAAATTTCATAAGCGCGGAGATTAGCCGCTCGGATTCTTTTAACCGTTCAGCTAATATATGAGAGTCGAATCTGAACAAGACCGGGCACGAGTATTTCTGGTGCTTTTTATTAAGTCGAATGCATTGGCATGGACTGTCTTGAAGGTTAGATGCTTTTAATATCGAATTCATTACAGTTTTAATGGGGATTCTGTCAGGTATATTATAGACAATCACGTTATTACTAGAGACTATTCGCTTGGTAACTTCATTAGCGATAAAGTCGATAACAGATTCTGATTTTATGATGTCATCAAGTTCCGCAGGAACGATATCTTTTGACAGGAGCAGCTTAAGGTGTGATAATGTCTTTATTTCTTGTTTCAAATCAACATGCTTTGATAAAGAGCTATCAAGTGACTCAACTTTAGAACGCATGTCGGTTAGTTGTTTAAAGACAGAGTTTAATTCACTCTTAATATTGTCGATACTCTTTGATCTTGATGAGGAACTCATTATTAAATTAGAGACAGAGTCATCCAGCATCAGATGTAGTGTAAGACCTATCTCAACATTATCAGCTTCAAAAGGAGTAGCAGAACATGGGGAATAGGTAATAACAGAATTGTTATTATCTGAAGTATTAGGGCTTTTCCGGGCTCGTTTTTTTGACAGTCGACCCATATCGCTTTAAGTATAGATTTTAAAGCTAGTTATGAGTTATAAACTGGGATTCAACGATATTTAAACAATATAAATTAGATACCATGTTGTCGTAACGCAAACTTCAATAGCAGTCAATCAAAAGATCTACTTGAAGCCCGATCATGAGACACTAAAAGTTTATAAACATAGAACAATTTAAACACCGAAATATTTCCGTAGTGTATTATGGAATATTAGTAACGTAACATGCGAAATTTGTTATTGTTTTCAACAATGAATGTGCGTAATTAGGTTTGTTTTAAAAGACAGATCGTTCTGTATAGCTTTTGATCAGCCCAATAACTATCACAAAGACTGATGAAAGAGTCAGCCAAGATATTTGAAATGAACCTAAAATGAATTAGGAAGAATAAGGCATTTTTCAATAGATATACATAATGCATTTAAATTAAACATGTGAATTACTAGCATAGAAACGGTCTCTGAATCAGTAGGCCTCACCATACACAAAAGAAAAAGCAATATCCTCAAATATAACACGGAGAATACTAACATAATCACACCTAGTAGAGAAAATCTGGAAGAGGTAGAAAGTTCCATGTATCATCGATGAACAACGAGGATCGGATGCAAACTTAAAGACAACAACTTTCAAGCAATATCAAAGTCACAATCTTCAATACGAACGTCAAAACTGTTCTTCTGCATAGAGCTGAAACTTCGAGAACTACTACAACCGTCATCAAGAAGGTACAAGGATTTATAAATAGTTGTCTACGCAAGATGCTCAACATCTATTGGCCTGAAACCATCAGCAACAGTCTTCTGTGGGGGAGAACAAACCAGCTTCCAGCTGAAGAGGAGATTAGGAAAAGAGGCTGGATGTGAAATGGACACACACAGAAGAAATCATCAAACTGCATCATGAGACAAGCCCTAACTTGGAATCTTGAAAGAAAGCGGAAAAGAGGAAGGCCAAAGAATACACTACATCCAAAATCGGAAGAACGCATGAGCTGGATGAATAGTAAAAGGAAAGAACTTGGATAGAATTGTTTGTGGAATGCTGGTGAGCGACCTATGCTCCTCCATGAGGGGTAATAGACGTAAGTAAATAATAATTCGTTGAATGAATATGAATAGAAAACGCTTAGTTATACACTTTTTTTGAAACAATCACTTACTGACTGAACCAGAAGAACCAAAAAGTAATTTCATCAATTTAGATTCTATAAGAGAAATTTATATGTTGTTAAATGAGAAATCATTAGATCATTGATAATTTAATCTACATGTATAACATATATATCCATTACTAGTTTTAGATCACTCATACACTAATAATCTCACAGATGAATCTAATTATGAGTGACAAATACATAAAAATGTACCATGGTTTTATAACAGATCAATGGTGGTTAATAGTAGAACGAAGTACATATGCTTCATCCCCTTTGGCAATCACTTACAGGATATATATCTGTTAACATTACTGTTACTATAGCGGGACTTGAATATAATGCCTTTCAACATAAATGTCAAAAAATTATCTATCTGCTGATCTACTTAGATCAAATAAACACTAACTTGTTCAACAGGTATAATGTACATGGGATTATTATTCAGTTGTCAATATTAGGAAGTAAATACTAACTTCAATAGTTGAGATCATGAGTCAGTTGAAGCTAGACCACCATGGAAAACCTGAAAGCACTGGACGGCCGTTCCGTCCTATTGTGAGACTTCCCAGAAGTGCGCATCCACCATCCCGTCTGGGGAGATTCGAACCCCTTCTGACATGTTATCACTAGTGACTGATTTTGAGATGTATTTCCTGGAGTACTAGTGATAAACTGTGACCAGTGGAGTTCAACCGGATCTGTAGTGAGATAGCAATTCATTGAAGACAATGGTGGATATGCCGCTCAATTTCATAGATTGGTTGGAGTTAGACATTAACACTGTTGAATGGCGGCCGGCTCAATGGTTAAGAGTTTAAGCGTTCTCACGTGAGACCGATAGGTCGCTGGTTCAAATCTTGCGAGGCGCGATCATGGATGCCCACTGCTGAGGAGTCTGATACTAGGACGAATCGTCCATCCAGTGCTTCCAGGTTTTCCATGAATGTCTAGCTTCCAATGGCTCATGATCCCAACTACTGAAATTACTATAATACCCACAAAAAACCCTTCTGATATTAATTAAATGCTAGCTGACCTTTGTTTTTATATATGAATCCTGTAGACAACCTCTTTATATATCCATCTTGACATATTGATAGCCATATATCATCTATTCTAAGATGTATATGTCAAAGTAAGTATTCTCTATCTAATCTACACAGAATGTATAAAGATGAAGAGTGAATAATTAGAATTCATCTGTGAATATAGTCCATGAATGAATTCACACATTTACAAATCATTATCTTCATAGACATTTATTCACACACACACTCAAACAAATAACCTTTTCACCAATTAAGGTTATAAAACAAAAGAGTTAAACTACGTTTTATCTTGAATAGTAAAAGACAACTCTTCATGATCATTCAAACAAGATCAGTACTTCATGATAACTGAGAAACAAAACCCAGTACCTAAAACAAAGAATCATAGTTTCTAGTGGATATTCCAATTCAAACACTACATTACATAGTGTACAGTTATTATTTTTTTGAGCATAACATCTACTGGTTCCATGGTAAAAAAAAGAAAAGCACTATATTATAGTGAATACATTGAACATACGTTTAGGTGTGGCTAAAATTAGAAAAAAAAGATTCACCATTTCAGTCAGAACAATGTTATACAAGTCTGTCAATCAATTGTATGTAACTACCAGCTTGGAGTATATCAGTATAGATACAACTTGTCACAACATTTCAGATCAGCAAGATCAAATTGTTGAGATAAATCTTAGAATGGAAGTAGAACTAAATGTACTAATAATGATATCAGTAGTAGTATTGGTTTGACAAACAAAGTTAGAAATTGTTAGAATAACTTGACCAGGAAATATGGATCCGTGTTATAAAATGACCTTTAGGAAAATAAATCATCTCAGTATCCGAAATGAGATAAAGTGTTACTGCATTAAACGGTTGAATTCATGAGTTGATATAAGCTAGGCCACCATGGTAAACCTGGGAACATTAGAGGGAACTTTACGTCCAAAAATAAAACTCATCAACAGTGCACATCCACGATCGCGCACGCGGGATTCGAACACAAAACATATCGGTCTGGAACAAGAACTCTCGACATCTTGACCACTGAGCCTGTATCCAACGATGTTAATGTCCAACTTCAACCGATCCATGATAACGCACGACTCTCCACCATTGCTTTCGGTGAGTCACCTCCTCATAACAAACACAGTTTGGTTCCATTGGTCATGTCTACTGACTGCAACTCCAGGAAACGTATCTTTAAGCCAGTCACTAGTGAGCACATGATGATTATCGCCAGAATGAGCGTTTGCGGAAAACGATTCTAAGATATATCAACAAGTGATCGCAATCATCTAGTCTTTAACTAGTTAGACGATTCACTCTAACAGCTAATAACTCGATGGACTGATGCCGGCATTTGTTTTAACCATCTTTAGACCCACTGCAATCTACACCTGCACTAGTATTCATCGTATCTGTTGGTTGAAGTCACGTAACTTATGTTCCAGCCATCTAAATTAATGAAAATTCACAACTAATTCGACATATTTATCATTCTTGAGTCTACTCATGACATTAAAGGTTTGGTTATCGCATGTTATCAATAGTTGGTCGACGACCGATGTGTTAGACATGAAAGGTGGAATATATGATCGTGACTCTCATCAACTCTGTAGGCAAATTCGATTTCGATCTATCTACCTATGGGACAATCGATGGCTCGTTAGTTTAAAATGAAGCCACTATCATACTCAATCCCAAAGGTGAATGCGTTCACCATGAGTTATGAAAATACAGGTCAATTATCAGTTTCACAGAGTGGTATATCATCGTGTTGATGAATAACATGTTTTGCTCATTACCAATACGCTCTCACGAATCCATTAGAGTCATACGTGCCTGTGACCGGAACTCAGAATATTTTGATGATAATTATCCATGATCCCCATTGGTCAGTCCTTTGAATTTGTTTTTCAACAAAGACATCGATACTTAAAAATTGTTTCATTTACAAAGTCATTCGTGAAATGACATCTCGATATGGTCAGGAATATAACTGAATTCAAACAACAGGTAAAACAGTCATGTAGGAATCTCAGCTAATCTAAATATATTGTGAATACAACCGCATAAATAATCAGTTCCAAAACACATTCACATTAGAACTAACTTGTAGCTGAAACATAGTTTCACTTATCAGGTTTAATAGTAGTTAATCTAACATTGAGCATATGTTATGTGAAAGATAACTACGAAGTGTCATTCACTGAACGATTGTCAATGGCAATGTATGTTACATTATGAAGTGAACTATAGACATATATGTGTTAGAATATTTTCTGTGATAGAAATATAAATGGATTAGGAATTGATGAGTTCCTTCTATGTCTCTGAAGATCATACAGATCAATTATTGATAGACATTTATCAACCTACACAATCATGATTGTGTTTTAGAGGGATACTTGTTTAAGTTAAGAAGACTGTGAAATGAATTATAAATGGGTCAAGTTGACGACTTCGGGAAGATACGAAACGAGACCATCTGATTACACTGTTAGACACAATTCAACTTCATTACAACTCGTATTCGAATAACAATATCAGGGTGATTCATTCAAGATAAACATAGGAAACACATGTCAGTCAAGCTTACTAATTTTCTCATCGAGCAAACCAGAACCTGAATGTGAGAAAAGAGAAATATTCACAATTACAATAACCGTCATTATTCTTCTCCTTCGATGTATTTACATTAACAATAGAACATTCATATTACTCATTAGGTGATACATAATTACCTGTTACATCATGTACAATTGTCAGCAATACAATTGTACTCATGAACGTTACTAGACACCGATGATAATACATGATTGTTGTGTATATGAATCTCTTATCTTCGAACGGATAGTTCGTTGGTAGTTGTAAATGTTCGTTCATTAACTTTTTATAATGAAATTTCTATTCAAGAAGAAGAAGAAGAAGGATATTCGGATTGTTTACTCTGTTAAGTAATTCTTATGTAAATAAAATGAAGAAAAAAACATTGAAATTTGAGGTAATAAAATTAATATAAAATTATTAAACTAAATTTAGTTCATTAGCCAACTGAAAATAGACCATCATGGAAAACCTAGAAGAACTGGGCGGCTGTTTCATCCTATTATGGGACTCCTACTTGACACTGCGTATCCACGATCTCGCCTCGCGAGATTCAAGCTCACGACCTTTAGGTTTTTAACGTGAGAACTTTTAAGCTCTAGACCACTGAGCCGGCCGGCATTCAACGGTGTTAATGTCTAACTTCAAGTAATCCAAGAAATAGAGCGACAAACCAAGGTATTTCCTGAAGTTCTAGTGATAAACAGTGACCAGTAGAGTTCAACCGGGTCTGAAGTGAGATAGCAACTCACCGAAGACAATGGTGGATATGTCGCTCAATTTCGTAGATTGGTTGGAGTTAGACATTAACACCGTTGGATGGCAGCCGGCTCAGTGGTCTAGAGGTTAAGCATTCGCGCGGGAGACTGATAGGTCCTGGCTTCGAATGTCACGAGGCGAGAAAGTGGATGCGCACCGCTGAGGGGTCACATCCTACGACGAAGCAACTGTCCATTGCTATCCGATTTCTATGGTAGTCTAGCTTCAATTGATTCATTAATTCAACTATTAGGAATCACATGCCAAATTACATCGGCGAAATTCATTCAAGACCTACAACGTAACGCGTACAAATCATTTTACAATTCATTAATGAAATACATAGTGAAAGAAATAACACATGAAGAATTCCATGAATCCTCGGAGAAATATTTTCATAGTCTGTTAAGCATATGGCTAAACAAAAACGAAGTTGGAGCTCTCTCTTTCTCTCTCTTGAACCCAGTTTTCATGTTCTATATGATATACAAACGTAGTTCGAAAGCAGATACCATCAATTTACTGACCTGAAACCTGTAGGTGAAGGGAGAAATGATTGGATTAAATACAAACCGAGTGATATTACAAATCAATGCAAATCTATACTTGTGCGACTCCACATTGAGAACTTTCAACTAAAGTATATACGTCATCGTTGAAGAACTTAAGATGTTTAAAGTAGGACCAGATAAGTATACCGGTGTTATGACAACGAGGTGACGAATTGATGTGTTCGAAATGTTCCAAATTCTCAACGATATATCAAAGTTTAAACGTTACAAATCAAGAAAAGATACCATCACGACAACCGAAAACCGAGTCACTAAACATCGTGAGAATCGTTTGAAACATTGAAACTCATTGATAATGGAACTTACAACAATCTGAAAGTAAAAGGATCACTACTGTCTTTTGAGGGTGTGTGTGTGTGTGTGTTCTACCTAAGCAACACAAACCCAACTTATAGTGTATATGGTAAACTTACCATATCATAAGTTAGCTCAGTGATTAACTGAATTATTAGAACCGATTCGTAGAAAAATGACGGTCCATAGTTTAAGATACACATTTCAGTTTTCCAAAACTAAATTTGGATCAATTGAATATATCAGATAAATTAATGGTATCTTTTGATGTTTGCTCATTATTTACGAGTATCTCATCAGAAAAAACTATCGATGTACTACGCAAACAATCAAGATTACTACCTCAGACGAAAAGTGAACTGAGGAGATTACCAGTACGGAGTTTTGGAGATTATTACATTTTCGATTGATATTATGAACTGGTTGATGTTAGACCACCATTGAAAATCTGGAAGCACTGAATGGCCGTTTCATCCTATTGTCGGAGTCCTCAAAAGTGCGCATCCATGATCCCTCTAGCAGGATTCGAAACAGGACGAAAAGGCTGTACAGTGTTTGCACGTTTTCAATGGTGCTCAAACATCAGTCGGTTCAGTAAGAAAATTATTATTACTTCCCATGAAAACAGTTCATTTCCAAATCGAAAGTCAGTAATACAAATAAACAAATATATTGATCGTGAGAACACCGCTGGCGCCTGTCTTGATCAATATCATCATCTAGATTATTCTAGAACAAACGAAATTCAAACACGAAATCTAGACGATAAAATACAACTCCATTTATGTCGATGAGTTATACGTAATCTGTCATCATAATTCTCGGCTGCTTTGACACTTCAGTAACTCTCATCCAAAATTCACAATGAAATATGAAAGAAATAATCAACTCAACTTTTTAGATCTCAGTTTAAACAAGGAAAACGATGGAACTCTTGAGGAAGGTATGCATGGGAAGAAAACATGAACTGTAAGAACATTTCTTCAACCGTACACCGTTCAAGGAAGTTTAGATTTCAGGGAGGATCGATAGGAGTGTCATGATAGCACTGAAAAGATTTTTCCCGGCTTCTCAGTTGGTTTCGTTACAAAAAACTAAGTGCCCGCTATATCATTCAAAGATAGATCGATACCCTTTCGACGTCAAATCCAATAATTATTATTATTGATGGCTTTATTCAATATTATATTTTTGTACAATACAGAATTCTCGGCACAAGGTATTTCAATAAGTTTCTTTTGCGAAAAAACAAAAAGAGAGAAAAGGAGAAGATGAAAAAAAGATATGAATCTGTACAAATTCTGAATTAGTCACATGCTTAAGAATTCAGGTTATTGATTAGTTCAACTCAGATAATCTGTTCGTCACAGAGTATATTTGCTAAGTAATGTATTATAGAACCTTCATACCTTCGCTTGCGTGTATGGACTTTTATGTAAACAAGTAAACAACGTGACTACTCCTATAGCGTTTTTCTCCAAAAAACTGTCACCAGCTCAGGAACGTTATAGCACCTTCGGCCGGGAGTTACCAGCCATGTATTTAACCGTTAAGCACTTCACCTTCTTACTACAAGGGAGAACTTTCACTATAATGACTGACCACAAACCTTTGTGTTACTCGTTCAATACTTCATACGACCGACATTCACCGCGCGAAACACGACAATTAGAATACATCTCCCAATTTGCAACAGATATCCAATTCATCAAAGGACACACTAATGTCATAGTTGACACGTTACCACGAATGGATATAAATACCCTGGTACGTAAGCAGGATATCGATTTGGAGACAACCGCAAAATTGCAAGTAGAGGACGCAGAAATAAAAAGCTGCCAACTGAATTCTAACCTGATACTTAAACACATACCGATTCCTTTTTCAGACTCATTTATCATCTGTGACACCTCAACAAGCAACAATCGTCCGTTTGTCCCACACGCTTACCGACGAACAATATTTCAGCAATTGCATGGTCTTTCACACTCAGGCATCAGAGCAACGACAAAGCTCATTACTGAACGTTTCGTGTGGCCAAAAATCAATTCGGATGTTAAACGTTGGAAACGTAGCCGCCTCCAGTGCCAACGCAGCGAGACGCAGAAACACACCTCCAGTCCAATTGGGAAGTTCCCTATCCCTGACAAACGCTTCCAGCACGCGCATGTAGCATTAGTGGGGTCCCTGCCACCATCAAACTCTTTCAACCACATCCTTACTGCAGTAGACAGGTTTACTAGATGGGCCATAGCCTGCCGCATAAAAGATACGTCGGCAGAAACAGTCGCTTCAGTCGTCCTCGACCGCTGGATATCTGACTATGGAGTACCTTCTATAATCACTACAGATCGTGGTCCCCAATTCCAATCCACCCTATTTCAGGAATTCACTCGACTTCTCGGGGTAAACCACATCGAAACAACAGCTTATCATCCGGCAGCTAATGGCATGGTCGAAAGATTCCATCGCCAACTAAAAAGCTCACTGATGGCACAAGCGGACTCTTCAAAGTGGAGCGATGCTTTACCGCTCGTACTCCATGGGATTCGTTCATCTGTAAAGGAAGACATCGGATGCACGGCCGCCGAGCTAGTTTACGGCACGACCTTAACGTTACCAGGACAGCTGGTCAATAGTGAACCTACAACATCAGTGGATCCTTCTCGTTTTGTAAGCCGCTTACTGCAAACGATGCAGAATATCAAAGCAATATCTCCGTGAGAACATAACAACCGAGTACAACTCGATAAACATCTGGAAACCTGCAAATTTGTTTGTGTTCGAGTAGACGCTGTGAAAAAGCCACTTGACACCACCATTCGAAGGTCCTTATAAAGTAATGAAACGCACCCACAAATATTTCATTATCAACAAAAATGGGAACAAGGAGACCGTTTCCATAGACAGAGTAAAATAAGCTTTCTACGAAGCTCCTCAAAACAAAGAAGACAACTCTGCGAATAAACAATCCTTCCCATCAATTGATGAGAAACAAGAGGAGGAGGAGAAGGAGGAGGAGGAGGAGGATGAAAGACTCAGCACTACACCTTCCTGTTTAACACGTTCTGGGAGACTGATAAAAAAACCCAAGCGTTATGTACATTTCGCCGTACAAATAGCAAAAACAATCAGCGGAAACAATGATCGAGGTCCTACACTACCAGGTTCACCCAAAAAAATTTCAACAACCTGTACAGATTTATCGAACATTCATAATTGTGGATTTACGATACCATACCCAATCAGAACACACGGCAACTTAGTGAATTTAAGTAAAGTACATATTTTTACGTTGTATTAATAACTATTAACATTGTTATTTGCTCTTCATAACTTGGTTAACATTTTTTGCGTTCATATTTGTCTGGCCAAACACAGTCTGACCTCAAAGATGGTGTGCAGTCTGGAGTCACGTGGATGTTGCTAAAATAAACATATTTGTATTTACTCAGCTGTTTCTGGCGGAATCCTGAAGTTAAACAGTCAATAAAGTCATTTTAAAACTTGAAACATACAAAAGTATATCGAAACCAGCTACAAACGTATCTACACCGACGCCACAGATCTTTTTGTCGTTCGGTCGATCCTGACGATAGATAGTGAAATCACGTGGTGATACCAAGCAATCGCCTAGCAAATCACTTAACCAAGATTCTTGAATTGTGATTACACCACACTTACGATACATCACAAGCTGCCAACTTTGGGGAAAATTTCGGGAAGTCGCTATAGCAAATTTTGAGGAAATTTTGTGGAAATGAGACGAAAAACCAAAATTTCCCCAGACCTGAGGATTTCCCCGAAATTTCCCCAAAGCTGGCAGCTTGGGTAGTAGGAATCGAAAATAGTCCACCTTGTAAATTAATGATCGGCAGTTGGAATTTAGCAGCTCAAGAATCGACATATGATTTATGTTCATTCTCTTCAACGCCGATTGCTAACATGCGCGATGTCTCTCATAGTACTTCTTCGCAACATGTGCAGCGAAAGGTTGTAAGCTTTTCATAAACGCGCTTGGATAGGTTATGCGATTATCAGGTATAATGAGGCAATAAAACAAAACAAAAACAGATGACTAGTCGAAATAATTAGATGTTAGTGACAAGAAATAAAAATTTTGAAGCATAAGAGGTTGAATAAGTTTCCCGACTGTGTTCCTGGTGTAATGAAAGTTCACGTGGAAAGGGAAAATCGGTTTAACAACGTATAATTACAGTATCTTTACAAAATGTGAAAACGATACATTAAATGTACTATATTAACATCTTTCTTAAATTGCTTCTCTAGAACACTAACGCCCTTCCATGTCCGTTATTTAACCAGTTGTTCTCTGTTTTACGTTTCTTTCTCTTCATTTACTTTTCCGTCAGTACGACTTCTAACTACATACTACATATATCTATCCGTATAAGTTGTATACATTACACTACGATCCTATGGCTGAGAGGGAATTAACTCATCACAGGTACAATTACCTGACAACTTTTGAATAGTGGACATGAAGTGAATGTAAGTAATCCATACAAAATAATCAACAAATAGCCTAACACCAATCCTACTGCATTTCGCATATACAGACAGCCTGTATAAAACAGTTCCTATTTGAACTATATATACGAGAAGAAAACAACGTGTGATTAGACTTCTCATGTCATGATAACTGAACGCCCACTCCATAACATTTATTAAGCTTTAATTTTTCAAATTACTTTGCATCCATGCAATCTCTTTTTATGCATTTGTCATCTTCTTAGATTTACTCATGTTTACATATTTTAATAATTAGGATCATGATCGATTGAAACCAGACCACTATGGAAAACCAGGAAGCACTAGATGGCCGTTTCGACCTATTTTGGGACTCGTCCTTGGCAGTACACATCGACGATTAGGCAATGCGAGAATCGAACCAAGGACCTACACATCTCTTCATTTTAATCAATATTGAGTGATTACTCAATTCTTTATTCATTTCATTCACCTTATTCAATCTCCTTGATTTTGAACACGATTACTGGTAACTGGAATAACCACTCTACTCTGAGTTATCACTTTTCAACATGTTTTAACGATGCTTATTCACATGCGTTGTGTTCTATACTTCTCGATATGATGAGCACAGTTGCGATCTATTACAATATGGAATTCTCAGTACACAGTGTTTCTACAAGTTTTCATTCCACATTTCTTGATCAATCTTAACGAGTCAGTTATCACTAGCTGAATGTTAGTAGTTCAAGAATATACATTCAAATAATGTTCATTCTTATTGAATGCATATTGTCTGCCAGCCAAGACGATGTCGCTGGATGCGATTTGTACAGAGAAAGTTCGTGAACTTGTCAGAAACGCACCTGAATAGGTTGTGTGATTTATCGACATAATGATGTGTTAAAACAATCAAAATCAGATAACTTGACGAAATGTCTTGATGTCGGAAACAAGTATTCCAGATATTCAAACAGGTCGCCAAACCATTTAGTTCTTACTATGCTAACCACTATCAAAAAATCTTCATTTATGAAACGATAACATTTTATCTATTTGTTCTATTCATTAGACGTCCACTGTATCAAACAAGTGGTCATCTATATTTTGATTCTTATGAATACGATTTTATACAAGATTCATCATAAATGAAGAGATTTAATATGAATACAGTTTTTCTCTGAGTCGTCTGGAAATAATCCACATCATGGTTTCAATTCAATATGACGGCATCCCACTCCATACAAGAATCGTTAACATCGACTAATGGATTCAATGTGAATTATTGTAAAATGATGCTCACCAGGTTAGGAGTAGAAGATGACATGTGTCAAATACAACAGTGGGAATCACAGTCATTGTCTACAAACTACAATACTTTTCAACACATATTTGCTCGAACATCTTACATGACACAATTCAATTCAGATACTATTCAATGAGAACCTCAATCGTCGGTTGAACTGCACCTTCTCTCTATAATAAATATAAACATTTAGTTCATACTTAACCTAGAAGAAGATTACACTTCTATTCGAATAAAACCATATACAGTAACTATTTGAATAATTTACAAAAACACAGAACAATGTTTACATCAAAGTATTTCTGTATTTTTTAAGGAATACTAGTAATGTAACATACAAAATGAGCTTCTGTTGTAGTCAACGATTGTCAGATTCTAGAAGATGAATCTTCTTAAATGACCATTGATCAGTCCAATCACTATCATGGAGATTGATGAAATGGTTATCCAAGACACTTTCATGGAGTCTAAATTGTTCGAGAAAAATAAAACACGTTTAGGTAAATGATGAATTCAAAACAAACATTTTGATCAATCAAAGTACAGTTGGTTAGATGAATGTCTTTGTTTATGGATATGTTTATTATATTTGAATGATCAACTACTAATCTATCGATGGGTTTGTATACTCTCAAAGTGTTCACAAAAGTTATTTCTAACCACAGAATTATGTAATGCATTGAAGAGACAGAGTAAATGATCAACTGAATAATTTCTGACACAATCACTTACTGGCTGAACCCGTAGCTGTGAATAGAATTGTATGAAGAACAAGGAGTGTTTATATATATAATTCATGCTTTGGAAACGTTTCATGAAACTTCAAATTATATAAAATGAGTAATGATCCATATGTATTATGTGTGCATGATTCTCTGTGCTGTTAGTCTGGAAATGTAACACATACTCCTAGGCTTATTTGACAATCGTCTGTTGGATATACGTCGTTGGTGATTTTGGAACTTACACACTAGGATTCAAACGCAGTGCCTTTGAATTTAAATGCCAGATAGTTGTGTATTCACTGTTCTACTCAGTTCAGTTAGTCACTTACTTGTTTCGAAAGTATCATGCTTATGTTGCATTTCACCGAAGGTGTGAATTATTCAGTTTGTTCTATTGAGGATTGAATACTGGTCGATCGACCTTAATTAATGATCATATGAGTGAAGACTCATTGATTTACACATGGGAGATTATTCAATTAAGAATGCATTCTGCATACACACACACACAAACGAGTACTCATTCAACCGTTCCATCAATCAAGATAGACTAGTCTGAAATAAAGTGTTCATCTAGCAGAGGGAAATTCACAGGATCCTCGTTCGTGTAGTAGTTGAATATATTTGTTTTGTGATGTCCTGACTACAAACAAAACAAGATCAGATCTCTTTGTTAACTCTTCACTTGAAACTCTTCATCAATGACTCCAATGTTGATTAACAAAACAGAACGTTAACAATTCTCATAGGTAGAAATGGTAAGGACTTAAAACTTACGCGTTGTTGAAGCTGTAATTAAAATAGACTTTCGCTTTTTACTCTAACAATCACATATAGATGTTGGGTGATTATGTAATTTATTCAAAACTGTGACAAATACAGATATCACGCTAAACGCATCATGAACGAGTGGACAAATCGTTGATAAGATCTGCATAACTCGACATTATTCCAGAATATGATTCATTTCAGATGTTTACTCATCTTGGAAAACCTTGATGATTGGTAGTCGCAGGAACTTCATCTATATCAGTAACCTTCTCGGTTTACAGTCTCAAATGTGATATTATCAAACAACTTACGTATACGTGCTTCATTAGAACGTTCTGTTTCTTAAGATGATGTTTTACTGAGATTTGGCTACCTCATTACATCTTCATGTATCTATTGAGAAGGACGAACGGATTATTTTAAGCACAACATATGCCCATGACTCGCATCCAATTGAATCCAAACCACTCGTTAATCAGTCATATAGGAATCTCAGCTAAACTAAATATATTGTGAATATAATTGCATAAATAATCAGTTATAAGACACATTCACATTAGAACTCACTTGAAGCTGAAACACAATTTCAATTATCATGTTTAATAGTAGGTAATCCAACAATGATCAGGTGTTATGTGAAAGATAACTACAAAGTACCATTCTTGAAAAATTGTCAACGGCAATGTACGTTTCATTATGAAGTGAACTATAGATATGTGTGTGTTAGAATGTTTCCTGTGATAGAAATATAAATGGATTAGGAATTGATGAGCTCCTTCTATGTTTCTGAAGATCATACAGATCAATTATCGATAGATATTTATCGACCTACACAATCATGATTGTGTTGTAGAGGGATACTTGTTTAAGTTAAGAAGACTGTGAAATGAATTACAAGTGGGTCAAGTTGACGACTTTGAGAAGATGAGAAACGAGACTATCTGATTACACTGTTGGACACAATTCAACATCACTACAACTCGAATTCAAATGACAATATCAGGGTGATTTATTCAAGATGTAAATAGGAAGCAAATGTCAGTCAAGCTTACTAGTTTCCTCTTCCCCGAAACCAGAACCTGAATGTGAGAAAACAGAATTGTTCACAATTACAATAACCGTCATTATTCTTCGCCTTCAATGTATTTGCATTAACAATAAAACATTCATATTATTCATTAGATTATACATAATTACCTGTTACATCATGTACAATTGTCAGTAATACAATTGTACTCATAAACGTTACTAGACACCGATGATAATGCATGATTGTTGTGTATATGAATCTCTTATCTTCGAACGGATAGTTCGTTGGTAGTTGTAAATGTTCGTTCATTTACTTTTTATAATGAAGAAGAAGGATATTCGAATTGTTTACTTTTGTTATGTAATCTCTATGTAAATAAAATGAAGGAGAAGAGAAAAAAAGCGATTGTATTATGAGATAATGAGACGAATGTAAAACTGACTAATTAAATTTACATTAGATGTGGAGAGTGAATTTTCGACAGGAGTAATTCTATGCTATTCTCTGGACCGTTGAGCACACAGTTTTGGTTTAGCCAGTCAGAACATATAAGCTACTTGGCTTGATAAACCTGATCTGTTTCTAATACATAAGTTAACACTGTTAATATACAAATAAACTGTACAGTCTATTAAACAGAGAAAAGGAGAGACATAAATAACATACGAAACAGTAACCAGAGGATAGGGAATATTAGTCAACGAAGCGAATAATGTTTTTTAGTGAACATAAAATTGTGATTTTTCAATAAACAGGGCATAGTCATACAAGGTCAAAGAAAGTTAATGTGGTGGTAGGCGTTTCATATTATCATTGCTGGGATGGATAGTAGCTATCAGTGGAAACCAGGACGCGTGTTCCGCCCTATTTAGGACTCGTCAAGCTGGATGTACCTGTATCCCAGAGTTGATGTTCTTTCCTCTTTGTTTAAAAAGCTTGTGACTTAAGGCTATATCCAGGCAATCCGCATAGGATGCACATATGCCAACATGAGACTGATCAGTTGCAGTCCTAAATAACAATGGGAAGATACAAGTAAAACAACATCAAGTGAATTTATCATTGGTGGGTCTGCTTATCGATCACACTTTACATTAGATGACCCATTAATTAATATCAGAAGGGAATTTCGTGGATATTATTCTGATTTTTACACATCTCAATAGTTCAGATCATGAGTCAATTGAACCTAGACTACCATGGAAAACCTGGCAGCACTAGATGGCCGTTTCATCCTATTGTCGGACTCCTCGTTGGCAGTACGCATCCACGATCTCGCCTGGCAACATTCAAAACCAGGACCAATCAGTCTCCTGCGCGAAGGCTTAACCTCTAGACCACTAAGCCTGCATCCAATGGTGTCAATGTCTAACTTCAACCAATCCACGAAATTCAGCCACCATCAACCAATGTCTTCAGTGAGTTACTACTTCACAACAAACTCGATTCAACTCCACTGGTCACTGCTTCTCACTAGAACTCCAGGAAATACCTCTTGAAGATAGTCACTAGTTAGCACATGTTGATTAACATCAGAAGGGGTTTTCGTGGATATTATAGTCCCACAACAGGACGAAATGGCCGTCCAGTGCTTACAAGTTTCCCATGATGGTCGAACTTCAATTGACTCAAGACTCATTAATTGTTTTCTCAAATTTTAATATAGATACTACTTAATGTAGAAAAAAAACAGTTATTTTCAGGATAGTGATTAATGAGGGATTATTGATTATGATTGATATTATGAAGTGAACTAAGTTAGAAGTCTATTGAAAACTAGAAAGCACAATATAGATGTATTGAACAGTTGATCGCTTCTTGTAGTGGCACTCGAATATTTGATTCCAGATAGATCATATGTTTGATTGTTATGGCAGTATACATATAGTCCATCCTTATGTAAAATTATTTACGTAATCCGTTTTAATGTATAACGGAATTAAAACAAGTCAAATAGGAGAATGAAGTTTTGACCATGTTTATTCTGTACATTGATTGATCTAGACAGACAATTAGAAAGACGTAGCGAAATGACGCGCGATGGAGATGGCGCATTAGCCAACTCGATTTAAGCAAGCGTTAATCAATATTTATAATCACACAGATGTAAGCAATAGACATGTGATTAGTAGGATAAGAAGTGCACACACACACATACTCTCATATTAGAAGAGTCAAAGTTAATAAGCAAGTAATTAACAAGGTCAAAATGTAACTCATGAAGAATGGATAAATTGGCCTGTCCAGAAGCTAGAATAAGTTATAAGGGCTTAACATAGTAACCGACACTACATTCTTATCCAGAATCCTAGCACTGAGGTTTGATCGCAGGAACTTTAATCTCTCGCATGAACGCTTAACATCTAAATTACTGATTCGGAATCTAGTGGTTTATATGTTTAACTTCAATGGTAATGTAAAACCATGTTTAATTATCTTCAGTAGGTTACTTCATCACATATAACATGGTTGGACTTCACTAATCACAGCTTTTAACTACAGTTCTAGAATGAAATCCGCAAACCGATCATTAAAGATCAAGGTACAATTATTATTAATCAGGTGGTTTATGGAGATTTTCATATGTTATAAATAATATGAACAAACCTAAGTTATTTATAGGTATCATTACCAAGGTTTAATATGATAATTTCGAATAATCATTTAAGGTGTTGTTAAGATTGTTAAGTTTTTGATTGAAATCACGAGTCACTTGAAGCTAGACCACCATGGAAAACCTGGAAGCACTGAACGGCTGTCTCGTCCTATTGTGGGACTCCTCAACAGTGAGCACCCACGGACACGTTAGCGGGACTCGAACTCAGGGCCTATCAGTCTCGCGCGAGGCGCTTAACCAACTAGACCACTGAGCCAGCATCCATTGGTGTTATTGTCTAACCTCAACCAATCCACGAAATTGTGCGACCATCTTCCATTGTACTGAGGTAGACACCTGTTTCTACCCGAAACGGATTAGCTCCACTGGTCACGGTTTCTCACCAGAACTTCGAGAATTTTCTCACGAAGCTAGTCACTAGTGAGAACATGGTAATTATCAGTTTAGGTGTTGTGGAGATTGTTGGCATTGTAGGCCCTGGGTTCGAATCTCGCGGGGTGCAGGATCGTGTATGCGCATCGCTGAGGCGTCCCATACTACGACGAAACGGCCGTCCAGTGCTTCCAGGTTTTCTATGGTGGTCTGGTTTCAATTGACTCATGATTTCAATCAAAAATTTTCGAATAAATTGAGCTTTGGGTAGATTGTTATGAATAAATGTATATTATATTCTCTGAAGAAGTGACTTACATTAAGTTACGAAACATCAGAAAATCTCATTTTTCTACTTATTGGGATATCTACAAATATATCATCTAAATTATTTATGTCCACCTTCATCATCACTACACTATCTCCATCGGACATTGGTTCAATTCATTGATTGTCTATTTATTCTACGTTGATTTTGGGGCGGCCAAACCAAAACGTGGCATCAGTCCATAAAGTCACCAACTTCTAGTCTTAGCTATGTCGGTAGATACAAAATACTAGGTTGGGATCGGTGTGACTATCGTACCCAATTACTGGAGACTGTGTGATATGGCCTAGAATCGATCACAATGGCGTCGGTGTATACACTCTCTGTCTTCCCTTAAACTAAGTGATTAAAATTGCTTCATATCTTTCTTTCTTCCTTTACTATATCCTTATATACAATCTTTCTTTTATATATTAACACCATTGAGCTAACTTCTTCTATGAATTCGGTATTCATGTTGTTATGCTAATGAGGTATGGCAACTTGGACTGATGCATATATGTGCCTGGTCCTACGTTGTAGCTGATTGACTGACTGACTGACTGACTACGTTGATTAATGTATAGTGATAATGTTATTTTTCATCATAATCAGTAGTATAGATGGGGTATTGAAATATATGAAATGAATAATACTTTTTTTTCATAAAAGGCATACTAAAACTAATTCAATAAAGTATTATGTTCTAATTTTATACATGAGTAATTATGAAAGGAAACATCTTTCATCGTTTTTTTTTGGTTGTTTACATAAAACTATTAGTAATATGATACATTTGAGCTTAAATCTTTTTTTGGAAGAAAAAGAAAATCAAAGTCTTGTATAATAAACAATCAATTAGTAAATGATCATATACTGAGAACGATCTGTTCATAGATTACTTTATGAATAGTGGAAGTTTCCAAATGAATGAATGAATGAATGAATGAAGAAGAAGAAGAAGAAGAAATAGAACTTAATGAAATCTATGGAATGGGACATAAACTGGAATCATCAATTGGTTGATCACTGAAAGCTTTACAATTTGACCTATTCATTCACAAAGAAAGAGAGTTATGTTGTGACTTTAAGTTTGACTAATTATCATATGATTTATTCGTCAATCGAAATATGACTTATGTAATCTTAGTACTGTGCTAAACCAATGACATTCGACTGTTATAATAAACCTAACATTCTTATTAGTCCTTTATCCTCTTAACTCGTCCATTTGAGTCCAGAACCCCAGCAACAGCTTCCACTATGTAAATCGTTTATTTCAAACATACTTGGTTTATATATCAGATAAACAGGCCGCATCACATCATAAAATAGGAAACAACATTTATACAAGATCAAGCCAAAAAGTAGCTGCGAACCTGGGAGACTATCATTAATAAACTGAGTATAACTTAAGAACCGTGAATCTTACCATAATAATCTATAGTTCTAAATGAAGCTTATAATAAGAGGAATATAGATATACATAATCTAATTACTGAATAGTTATACAATAAGAATATGTATATAATATTGGCTCACTAATAGTCCTCATAATGTACCCATAGTTTAATCTTCACTAGAATATAGCACGTTATAATACTAATATATGCAATACAATCCAAGTTCGTCTTAGTTTCAATAACTAATGAAGTCGTGGATGTACATAGGCAAGGAAGGAACGAGTTGAAAACTCACTAGACAATTCTGTTTCAACGTAAATTTAACTGACAGAATCAACTTAACTGTTTCATTATTGATAAAGTCTTCAGGTTAGTTATGTATCTGAAAATGGATGCTAATTATTTGAAGAGAACAAATTCATTCTTAATTTGCATAAGAGATCTGGTTTTGTGAGGCTCTTAAATAAACGATTCCTGAATAGTCGATCAAATCACTGAGTTAGATTATGACGTCACAGTGTAGAATATCATGATAGTCGATGAGAGTGAAGTTTGATGAAACACATTTAAAATTGAGTTATTTTTCATGTCAACTCTTCAAACTACCTCATTCGACTAAATCTCCAC